GAGGAAGAGACGCGTCGCGAGGCAACGACGTCGAGGGAGGAAAAAGACACGAGGATGAGCTCCCTCTAGAAAGGAGAAACGAAATTAGAAGGACGCGGAGCACTTTGAGAACTTCCCCGCTTAATCCGCATCTAACTTCCGGTATTCGGTACTCACGGCAAATTCCAATTTTCGTCGGACACTTCGCCGATGAAGTTTCGCGAGACGACGTCGAAGGGTGGAAGCGCGCAAGCAAGCTTTGCGCGCGCGAGAGATTTCGATTTTTCTTCCGAAAGTTCTCTGCGGGTTTGATCCCGCGCAAGTCGCGCAAGAAAGAGAAACAAAATAAAAGCCGGGCGGAGAGGAGAGAGGAGCAAGAATGTAACTCGAGTGTACGGAAGCGGACGTTATCGGGGAGCGCGCACCAGCTTTTCTCTGGGTGCGCCAGCTTCGATAGAGACGCCCGGAAATTGCGTCATCGTATATATAGAACGGCCAACGTTCTTCATGGTTTCTGCATATTAAGAGCGCATCTATCCCTTCCCTCTCTCTCTCTCTCTCTCTCTTTTACTCTTTCGTCACCCACGAACGGACATTGCTGATTCGAGCCGGCTGCGCGTTCCTTCCGCGGTTCATCGAATCGACCGAATTCGCCGAATTCAAACACAGAGTTGATAGAGAGAGAACTGTCTCTGAAAGTCACTGTGAGAGTAGCGCGCACAGATAAAGTTGGATTTTTTTAAAGAGTTTTTATCAAACATTAAAATAATTTATTCTTAACGAAAAATGCAATCTTGCGACAAATATATATATATATATCTTGACAGTTTCTTGTCGCGAGATCATCCGCAGAAAAAATGTAGAACACAGACTTTTTTTCCCGTTGTTTTTTTCGTTTTCTTGAGAAAAAGAGAGAAGAGAGATTTGTGCTGTCGCCGAATATTAGAAGCTAATTTATCTCGCGCGAGATATATCGACACGGACGTGGCTGGGCGTGGCGCGAAAATTGGAGCTTTATTTATTGCGCGCGGAGTTTTGATCGGAATCGGATGACGCGCGAATGACTGATAGGAAATCTTCAAGCTCTTCGGCAATCGCCTGGTGTTGGTATAGTCGCGAGAGGAGTGCCACAAGCATTCAGGAGCAGGTAAACGAAAGGAAAGATAAATGGAATTCCGTCAGGAGAGAATTCCGCGAGGTTGCGGCTAATAAATGTTTTAGAGATCTTTGGAACCCACGCAGATTCTTGGTAATTCGTCGGCAAGTTAGTTGAGACGGTTTTTTATACACACTATAAAAATAAAAATGCGTGTACATCAATGGAATATAATTTCAATTAAGTCGTGTGTGTTTTTTTTTTTTTTTTTTTTTTTAGTTGGACACACTTACTGAAAATAATACGTACGTTCTGGTATATTATTCTTGTATTATTCTCGTATTAAATTTTTACCAGTGATTACCTTTTTCTTTTATTTTTCTATCACTCTCAGATTAATTTTCCGTTTCTACGACAATCCGACTCATTGTGGCCGCTTTCGAGATCATTCTCTCTCTCTCTCTCTTTCTTTCTCTCTTTGTCGGCTTCAAAATTCTCTCGATATCACTCGCGACGAAAAAGACGAATCGCAGCTGTGCAGCAGCAGCAGAAGCAAAACTACGGCGGCGGCGGCGGCGGCAGAATACCGAAATAATTTCGCGAGTTCACGCAACGCTATATTTAGCAAAACATCGCGGGCGATCGTCTCTCGCGTGTTTCGCTCATCCGATGATCTCTGCAACGCGATTGATGCAAAGATCGTGAAGCGCGCGGCGTTTCGATATCGAAACATCGGACCGACGTTATTCGATCAGCGCGACGACGGCCTATTTTTTTTTTTTTTTTTTTTATTCTCGGGTCAACTTTTCGCGCTCACATTGCCGCGTGCGCTCTTGTACGCGTCTTGTCAGTGCGTGTCAATTATATTTAGCGTGTCGCCGCGTGATCTCACTGACTCACTGTGCACGTCGCGAAAAACACACGGGAGACGGGAGACCTCGTCGAACTCGGTCGCGAGCAAGTGTGTACACGTCGGAAAGAATACTAGAGGAGGAGGCAAACGCGTGTTTTGTACGCGTTGGGCCATTGCAGAGACTCGTGTGGACTCTGCCGGCCGCGATGATGCCACGGCCGTCGCTGACTCACTAAATGCTCGATATATGCGTGCGCGATTTGTTACGCGCAAAACGAGCTCGATTCGCGTTCGTTCGTTCGTTCGCTTGCTCGCTCGCTCGCTCGCTCGCTCGCGTCAACGAGCGATTATATACGAAGTTTATTTGGAATTGTTTTCTTTTTGATCACAGAAAACGAAGTTATCGGACGTTAATCCGATTGATGCACGCGTCCAATTTGTTCGCATTTGTCCGATTTTCTGTACTATGCAGTTTGAGTCAAAGTTGATGACATTACGGCGCCGATTGCGAGATGAGATGATAAATGACGATTTAAGGTCGATTAATGAATCAGCCGCGAGCCGGAGAGATCTACCTATATGATCATCGACGATGACGTTCGCTGCAACAATATCGCGGTGGCACGTTGAAAGTATCTGATGATAGTTTATTGATGCCAATAAAGGAATAGAGACGTCGACTACCAGAGAGAGAGAGAAAGAGGACTTTTGTCCTCGTCGTAGTCGCGGAAAATTAATCGCGGTGATAATATCAAGACCGAGTACTATTATTTGTGTGCGCGTTGACGATTACGACGACGCGCGCGCGCGTCGCTTTGTTGTTGCGCGCGCGAAATGCGACAAAATGAAATTAAACCAGAGACTGACAGGGCGTAATAACCAGGGCGTCGCGCTCGCGGAACGCTTATTTCTATTTATTACATCGCGTGAAACTGCCGTTGTAATTGCGATAATTACCGGCAGCGTTAAATCAACGTGTTGTCGCGCGCCTTTCAACGCACGCAAATTTCTACTTAACGCGAAATCGCCGGCGCGAGAAGAGAATAAATACCGATGATATCGTATATTTCACTTTGTTATTTTTTTTTTTTTTTTTTTTAACAATCTCTCACGCAAGTTCTCATTTATTTGTAATCAAATGTAACACGCGGATGTCATTCGAAAACATATGTAACAGAGAGCGTAGTTTTTTTTTTCTTTTTTTTTTTTTACTCCCTTCGGTGTACTCTCGTCAGAATGAAGCGGACTTACAATCGCTGTGTTATTCCGATCGTTTTGATCGCAATTATTTTGACATTCTGAGAGAATTAAGAGCGAAAGAGAATATAAAACGTTATAGCGCGCAACAACGGGAGCGGAATAAAATCGCGGGACCGGTTAATGACGCGCAATAAAATCGCCCCGCGTTTGTCGAGTTACGTATCCCCGACATAATTGGCAAAGTAATCGATTTATAGTTATTAACGCGGTAACGGTAACATTCGCGATCATTTGCATATTCATGACAAGGAGAGAATCGGCCTCGATGCGCGCGATGCGCGCGATTGCGCTGTGCTTGAACTACCGCGCGCGCGGATCGCGCTTGAATGCAAAACGCGTGTTCCTTTTAGAACCGCGTTAATGAAAAACGACGCCGCTTACGCGTCGTAAAAATTTGATAGCCTCCCGCGCGAAACGGTCGCGGGAGACAACCACCGGTAACATCGCTACGAATTTAACGCAAACATCGTTTACTTCCCTCCCATCGTGACGCCGCATGCATACATTATTACGCTCGATAATACAAACAGCAGTCTCTCACAGAGAGATTGTTTAGTTATCAGATGATAAAATTGTTGTTTGTGCTAAGTGCAATTTATTTAAGCACACGCACAGACCTTTTTTTTTTTTTATTCTTTATATCGAAACAAAAATTTATATGCGATATAACTTAAAGTTATATAATTATATCATTTACTTTGTTTAAACTTTTATTGTTTTGGTATAAAAAAAAAAGAAATTTTATTAAAGATTAAAAATCACGAGAGGAAACGTTGGTAAACTAATCATTATTGTGCACTATTCTATTGTACGAACGCAAATAATTTGAACCAAAAAAATGATGCGTCTAATTAACCGAAATGTTCGCAAATTATAGGACTGGATTCCGCGAAGATATCATGGCATAATTTCTCTAAAAGATGATGCGGGGGAGGGGACGTGGTGTCCCCTTTTAGTGTTTTAGCGAGTTATCTCGAAACATATGCACGAGGCGTCACATATGTGACGAAACACATGCGTGTCTGTCATGCCCCAGCAGTGGCTACCGCCTCGAAGAGTTCCCCTCGGCGAAGACCCCGTCGAGAAACAGCTGTCCTCGTCTCTCTCACCATGAGGTCCCTGTATCGGATAATTAGAAATACGCGCGAGATACACGGAAGCAAAATCTAACAAGGAAATTCGACACATGGTGTCTCTCGAATTTCCAGAATATATAATACGTAGGCAAAAGATAAATTTGTTCTAATATTGTTGCAATATTTGCTTCGCGAAACACACAAAATCTACTCTACGGCGAAGGACGAAACGTCCGCGAGTGTAATTAACTTGAAATAACAACAGAAACGGGTGATTAAGAAATAAAATAAGGCGATTGAAACTAAAATAATATAATAATTAGTAAAATTAAAATAATATTTTTTGATAATATAATTTATTAAAAATAAAAAGTAAACATTGCGATGTATGAAATAAAGACGTTTTTTTTTCAATGTTTAATATTACAGTCGAACTCGAATTTCAAGAGAACAGCTAAAATCTTTGAGTTGTAGAGGTTTCGACTTATCGAAGCGCTTTTTTCCTTTCCGCGGAGCGGAAGGAAGTGAATAAAATTTTTGTCTTACAAAAGTTTTCGAGAAGTTATCGATTTGACCGTATATGGTTTTGAAAAAAACACGGAAATTAATAATAAAAGCAACACGTTGCAGAGTAACGAGAAAATAATTTGCGTGACGAGAATAATTTAATTTATTCTGAAAATGTTGAATTGTTGTTCGCTTTTATAATTTTTCCGTCTCAATCTTTCGGTTTCAGCGCGATGAGAGTGCTGCTCTCCAAATTGCCGCGACCTTGGATCGTTGACGAGAAGAAGGACGACGGTTACACGGCCCTTCACCTGGCAGCTCTCAACAATCATGTGGAAGTCGCCGAACAACTGGCACGCGCCGGAAAGGCCGATCTGGACTTGCAGAACGTGAACTTGCAGACCGCTCTGCATCTAGCGGTTGAGCGTCAACACACGCAAATAGTTCGGGTACGTGTTTTTTGCATAAAATATCAAGAAATCACACGATGAGCAATAATTAAAATCGTGATTCAGGAATTTATCACAAATTTCTAACAAACATCTGACAATAAAAAAAAAAAAAAAAAAAACATTTTCTTACATCTAATAACAAAATAATATTGGAATCATTCCGCGTTCTTTTTTGTCGCGGAAAGAAGAGAAGATACCTATATTTAAAATTTGCAATACTGTAATCCGATCGCACAGTTGTTGGTTCGCGAAGGCGCGAATCTGAACGTCGCCGACAAGGACGGGGACACGCCCTTGCACGAAGCCCTTCGACATCATACGTTGTCGCAACTCCGGCAACTGCAGGATGTGCAAGACGTCGGACGGTTGTTAATGGGCCTAGGCACCCAGGGTCAGGACAAGAAGAGTAGTTCCTTTATTGCCTGTTTCCTGGCGGCACACGGCGCGGATTTGGAATTAAAGAACAAGAAGGGCCAGACGCCATTGGATCTCTGTCCTGATCCAAATCTCTGCAAGACTCTCACCACCTGTCACAAGGACAAAGAGTCGTTAGTATACGGGAAAAGGAAGAAGTACATGTACTTCCTGATCCTCTTGTGCTCTGTGTCAAAACAATATATGTATACACACACACACACACACATACATAAATTTCGCATTTCTGTTCTGATAATATTGCTTTTGCAGACACGACATCGAGACCACCACTCCGTCAGGGGAAATTGTGCTGTGCGATGAGTGTCTCGTGTGCTCCGATGGTAAACGGGAGGTGCTTTTCGGTCCTTGCGGACACGTGGCTTGTTGCAACGCTTGCGCGCCAAGAGTAAAAAAATGTCTCATTTGTCGTGAAAATGTTCTTACGCGGGTGAAGGTAATTTGGTAATCGACACACTATTAGCGATAAAATTTTCGGGTCGTTTATCGATCTCGTTTTACGCGTCGCGCTATTAAGCTACATAGGCTGATAGCTGCGTAACTGCGTATGTTTGTTCCGCTCCGTAATAGACTCCTTAGACGTGAAATTCTAGACGTTGCTCTATCCACGCCTTCAAGCAATAACGTTTGTTTGTTCCCAGATCGAAGAATGCGTTGTGTGTTCGGATCGTAAAGCGGGCGTGCTATTCCGTCCGTGCGGACACACATGCGCCTGTGAGAGCTGCGCGGCCCTTATGAAGAAGTGCGTGCAATGCCGGGCGCAAATACAGCACATGGTACCGCTCTCTGTTTGCTACGGCGGCAGTAGTGACGTCAATTATGTAAAAGGATGCAATGCCTCAGGTACACAGTGTCGGAACATAATTAATTAATTGACTTGTTTCTAGGCAATTTATCTCGATATTAATAATTAATATATAAAATATATAAATAATATATAAAAAAAAAAATTGTGTGATCAACTGGTCGTTGTTGAGAAATTGGTCACAACTTTTTTTTTAAACTAACTTACTTCCCGAAGGAACGATATCCGAAGTCAAGGCGGATTCTGAGGAAGAACTGGCGCCCTCGAACAACACCGGAACAGGAGAAGCTCTACTAATGAACAACGGCAGTCGAGATACACACAGCGATATACAAAAACTGCAGCAGCAATTGCAGGACATCAAGGAACAGGTACGTGTCTTTTTTTGCGTCTCGCTTCGTTATGCGCCGCTTTAATGAGACGAATAATTTCGTTTGTGTCGAAGAAAGAAGTCGCGCGTTGTGCAATTACCTTTCATTCTTAGAGAACCGAGAAATACGTTTTCTCGAACGGAATTCTAAGCTCTCTTTCGCAGTGAACACCGCGGCTTTAGCTTGTTATTCAATTTTCGTGTCATGTTTTGTCAGCGCCAAGAAAGATCTGCGGAGTTAAATTACGCGAAAATTTACTTCACTTAAGTTTAATTAAATATATCTAATATGTATGGAATTAATAGTTGGACATTTTTAATAATTTTCATTTATCTTTATAAAAATGCACAATTAAATAATGGAAAAAAAAATTTTCCACTTAGTTTGAGTATTCTGAAAGTTTGATGATACAAAAAGTTATGTGATTCTAAAAATGATTTGAGAGCGAATGATATAATTCAGAAATAATTTGTGTGAGAGTCAAATTCTTTTGTTTCACAGACTATGTGTCCCGTATGTCTGGATCGTTTGAAAAACATGATCTTCCTGTGCGGACACGGTACTTGCCAAATGTGCGGCGACCGGATGTCGGAGTGTCCGATATGTCGCAAGGCAGTGGACAAGCGCATACTGCTCTATTAAAATTAGAGAAACTATTTAAACCGACCGCATAAGCGCGCCGTATAATTGAAAATAATCATGCGAACTATAATCCACAATTGTTCGCAATAATTGTTTGCCAAGAAAAAAACAATTGTCGCTTTCTTACGCAATGTTTGTTTCAAACAACAAAAAATTAATTATTAAATATTCAGTATAATCACACAAAGCATAATTGCGTATAACAGCATGAAAACGAACAGTGCGCTTTAACATTGTAATTGACGAATATATCTTCCAACAAAAACAAATGAAATTTCGGACTTGCAAATAAGGTGAGTAAGTAAAAAAGCTCATTGTTAAAACTGACCGCGATAAACATGACACGCACAGGTTTTCTTCAACATACGTACTTCTATGATAGAGGAAAAAAACTCGTCTGAACAATATAACGTAGGTCATATATATGTTAACGTAGGTCATATGTATGTTGCGTTTTTATATATACATATAGCAAAACCGAACCGCAGAGTAAAAACGTGATAAAAACAAACATCGTAATCCGTTTGAAAGTTTCATGCGTGTTTTTTATTTTTTTTCATGGCAACACTTTCAAAACACGTTTGTTCTATTTTGCGTCTATATGTGTATACACACACACACATACACATATATATGTATATATATGTATGTGTGTGTACATATATATAGATATATAATAAGTTGCGTTTGACATAATATTGACTACCTTATAATTATACATAAATGGTAATTATATATAAGTCTATATTAGTATAAGTATATATTAGAATTATATAAAATTTACATATATATATATACACATATATATTATACATATTTTAGTATTAATTTGTAAGTATAGTTCAGTGAGATTTTCTACAGAATTTTTATTTATCATTCGTAAATGATTATGGTCAAAAATCATTTACATTAAGGAACATTGATCTTGATATATGTTAGAGTCATCATTAGTAGTATTCAAAACGTTTCAATTGTTATTATAATTATTTATTGTATATTTATCATCAAGATCAGGCGCACATTTGCGATTTTCTGTCGTCGCAAAATCTTTACAATCGCGAGTGATTATTGACGGTGGCGATTAAAAGTTGTTCGGGAAAAAAAATCCTGCATATAAGTTCGATATCTGATTATAAATAATTATAATATAATTGTAAATGAGATTATGAGATAATTTCATATATAATTGTATATAATTACATACATTCTATGTAATTACATACGTAAGTAAATAGAAATTGTTCATTATATGAAGAGGACTTGTTTCCCGGACAGTGCTCACTTAACAAACACCAAATAAACAATAATATTTTTCAATCGCATTTATCAATTCGGCCAATTAATCAATCCAATGTTTGCATTTTCTGTTTGTTTAGTATTCGCTGAGTGAGTATCGTGTTTAAATTGAAAAAAAATTCTTTCACTTTTGCGTTTATATTATATATGAGATCTCTCATCTTACAAAGTTTACAAAAATTTGTATAAAAAGTACTCAATTTTGTTATAAAATTTAAAACAATGTTTGCAAACTGTACAATATTTGATCTTGTTGATTGAGAAAATCGCTTGTGCACGCCTAGTCTGGAGATTGGTATTCTCGTATATCATTATAAAATAATTTCTGCAATTATTATCTTTCTGCATGTAATTGAGAAAAAATGTATAATAAGACGTAGGAAGTTCTTCCGTATATTATTTATTATAAAAACACAAATTGAACACTTAGTTTTTATCTTTTTATGTGAATTTCCAGACTTCACATAGATAAAATATATTTGTATGATATTGTAGTTTTTGGAATATTAAAATAAAAACTATTCTGAACAAAAACTATAAAAAAAAAAGCAAAAAGATAAACAAAGGACATAAAATAAATGGATATATAGATTTATATTTGCAAATCATTCCTGTTTTTTTTCGACAGTATTTTTATTGACTTTATATATCATTGATTTGTTTCTCTTAATTTTGAATATATCAGTGGACATATATTATGTGTAATACGCAAATTAAATAACATTGACACAAATGTGACAATCTGAATTGTGGTATAAATGTGTTTCAAACGACGAAATATACATATTGTATCATTATTTCAATGTATTCTGTTCCATAAATAAAGAAATTTAAACTCTTCCTAATACAAATTCTCTTACTGTGTGAATGTCATGCGTAAAAAACTGCATTGAAAATTATTATCGGGTGTAAAAAGTGATTGAGATAAAAAAAAAGAGGGAATATACGAAAAATTATTTATTTATTTTTTCCGAAAAGTTGCATTTTTATATACATAGACCCACATTTATGTTGATAATGAAATATACAGGTTTCTGTTTATATTTGCAGTTTTTTAAAAGAAAATATCGATTTTACACGTGCGATATGAACATCCATTCCCAATCTCGTAACATTAACACGTTCAGTGTTGCATATAGATCGCATACGTGCGCTAGACTTTCCATTCAGGCCGTTTTGATAATTTTCGCTATTACATGTGCAATATTATCGTAGAATATTTCAATACCAACAAAATATTACATTTACTTTGTAGCGCACTTTAAAACACTACATTTTCTTCTCTTGATATTTACCCAAGTGCAGTCTTACTTAAATATAATAAGACGCACAAGCAAAAATCATTAAAATCTCACCATTGTGCGCGCGCACGAGAACGCATATAAACCGGCGTAAACGGAGAGTCATCAAAAATATAAGTCCGACACTCACTGAACATATTAATTATTTCTAAAAATCCGAAGATTCTATTGTCGTTTTTTTTTTAAACAAATTCTTGCATTCTATTATTTTATAAACACTTGGTATAAAAGATTATTCTCACGCATTCGCACAACGTGTTTGCAACATTAGCAGCACTTATGTTGTAGACAAAAAAAAATTAGACCGAATGCGTGGCTATTTTACTACTTCGCGAAAGAATGATCGGATGCAAAAAAAACGCTACAAAAAAGAGACAAAGAAGAATGTGCATTGTTGCGTGAACATAGAAAAACATGCTTCTGTTTTCTCATGTGTACACACACACACAAGTGATTGCTAAATAATTTACTAATTACCATCCTGGGGTATGTGCGTAAGCATATTATTCCAATAATATTATATTAAATATTTGTAATTACATTAATTTAATAGCTTCCTAAATATTTTTTCTGCATTGTGATATTTAATCCGCGAAGCTATCGCAGAGTTGTATAACAGACTATATGTGTTTTTGTTTTTAGATCTTCCCCTCCTCTTCTTTGATCAGACTGTTGTTGATAGAAACTAGATTCTATCTTTTCGTGACCCATCTTAATGCTACATTTCAGTCATCGTGACTCTATAAACAACCTTATTACAACAAAAATCACATAGAACAATCCAATCTCGCGTTTTAACCTTATCTAATGATAATAAAGCTTTCTGTCATTTGTTGTATCATCTTAATCTTTGTATCGATGGGTCGTGAAGAAGAATCGCTTTTTAACATTCAGACGACGAGTTCAAATTGGGAGGAGACAATTTCTTGGTCCGAGTGAGACGATCCAATTCTGCAGCCGCATCGTTACACATTGTCGCTTTGTCCACCGGTGTACTCGTTTCTGCAATATGCAGAGAGACATAATTTTTATCAGAATATAATTTCTATCGAAGACAAGAGAAATTTATTACGTACCGACTTTCATAGGACTCGTTCCCGGTGTACCATAGGTCACGCTACCCGGTGTTCCCGGCGAACCTGGCTGCATTCCAACCTTTTTGTTGAGGAGAGAATTGAAGAAATTAGCTAAAACACCTTCTCCGGATGGCGTTGCACCGGTACCTTTCGGATCCAACTTCTTATTCGGCGACGCAACCTATTCGTACAATCGTTAATATCCGCCCATTCACGGAGAAGAAAAGTTTACTACTCATAATTGACAGATCATACCACATAGATTAGAACATGCTTTCAAATGTTAACTGCAATAACCAACACGAGATGATAGCTGGAATTAAAATTGTGTGGGCTGTTAAACAATGACACATTTTTACTGCAAACTATCACAGGAGTTCTTATACAAAAATATTCGTTATCCTTCATTAAGGAGACACAAGGATCAAATTACTGCGTAAACAAAACAAATAATTTAACATCGATACGATGTTACTGTCGTTAATTGCAATGTTACCATTCCATTAAATGAATTGGGTATACATTAAGCAATAGGTTTTCTGAAAAGCGTATAAGCTCATAAGAAAGGACGAGGCTACATTTAATTTTAACGTTAAATGAATTGACAAACGGCTAAAATGAAAACTATGATATGAAAATAAAATTTAGAATTGTGTAATGAACGAAACAATCGACACAAACATAATTCGAGATACGATACTAGTGGATTTCGTAATGGACGTCTCGATGGAAATTAATGGATCACTCGCACGACTCATGACTGCGATGAGAAAGACGATGAACGATGTGATCCTTCGATTTAACACGCAACATGAAGAGCATGCTCTATTTGTAAATGGTATAACCTGTATAACTGGTCCGGGGCTTGCCTGGTTCCGAGTCGTCGGAGACCGAGTGGGATCTTTCATGCCCGACAGAACGGCCTGCTGTCGCGCGAGAAAGGCTTGCTCCTCTTCCGCTTGAACCTCCATTTCTCTAGCAACGCACTAAATCAATGAGATGTAAATAATTGAAATATTTATAATTATAATGCACATTTTTGTATTTTGTTGCAGAGAAAATTGATAGATGCGCAAGTTTTGCGGATACATAAAATGATGATACGAAAGCTTACCTTCCGATTTGTTGCTGGCTGTGCGATAACATCTCGATAGTAATCATTTGCCTTCATGGATTGCAAATTTTCATATAAAATGCTAATTTTCTTCATGTTATCCCAACCAGCAGGACTGTAAACAATACATCAGTGTTAATCCCGTACGTGCAACACGGAAGTAAGTCGCAAATCGTTAAAATGTTCTCACATAAGTACTGCGTCCTTTTCAACAACCAAAGCCGGAGTTCTGAATGGTAAAGAATAAATTCTATGCGTAAGATATTTATAAAGCAAATCACAGTTTTTGTCCTCCTTCGCCGATGTATAGAAGAGCCCTGCGCCATACTGCAAGCAAAACCGCCTGATCCACTGTTGCATAAAGTCGAAATGCTCGTCTCTAAACAACAAGAATCGAGAGATATTAATACCTGCTAATAATTTTTGCATCACCGTTAATTTTCCATCACTCAAAAAAACAATATATGTACTCACTTGTAATCCTGTTCCTTCTCAAGGGTGGACATGTAATCGGTTTTTGTTATAACTACGACAACATCTAAACCCAGATTGGTTGTAAGTACTCCTTCTGGCAAAGGTAAGCCTTCAGCGGTATCATCGTCCAGATTACGACTGGTACGTCGTAGAGGACTTCCAGGATCCAGCTCGTCTCCCGGTTCTGTGTAGTCTTGCCATTTCTTAATATCTAGACAAAATTATACGTACCATATTGCTTTCTCAATAAATTCATATAAGATCAAAGTTTTGCTAAGTTGTAATAAGAGTAAACTTACAATAATAGTAAAGTGAATGACAATTGTGTCTATAGCACTTAAACAATTTATGCATTATGTATTTTACATACATATACACACAAAATATTACAATTGATTCCACTTACTAAGCTGTCTGCATCGTTGCCTAGTATCATTATCTAAGGGTAATTTGTCAATATGATCGCCTAATAATGCTGCCCATGATTGAAGCTGATCAAGAATGGCCCATGGTGTGGTCATGGCAGCGACCAACATAACAAGTGTGTGTGGAAACCTCTCTTTGTTCAGCGCAAATCTCAATAGATTTGCGTGACCTGGATCTCCATCCAAAACCCACACAGATAGCCTTGTATGATCTAAAAGGAAAATTATATGTTAAAATAATCACAAATTTTAAGTCACTTAAAAAAGATGTTGCTTATATAAATTTTCACACCGTCTCTATAATCATCTCTCACATCGATGTATGCAAATTCTAACCCAGATCCTTTCTTTGGATCCTCTACACCTTGTAGTTTAGCTATAAGTGTAGTTTTTCCACTTTCATTGTCACCTAAAAACATACGACATATATTACACATTTATATCTGTGTATAATCAATAAAAAAATTAGTTTTCAATCAATTCAAAATTAGTATAAATCTATGAATATTTAAAAGAATATTTAAAAGTGTTTAATTTACAAAAAGAATAAAACATCTGTTCATATAATATGCTTCAAACATATCACATGCCAATCATATCAGATGTAAGCAACCGATAAATCTTGTTGATCTAACCTTTTAGCAGGCTATGATAAAAGCGTTATAAGCGTGCCAAAAAAAACAATGAAAGAAATCATGTGAAGAATTTTTTAAAACGAACAGGTGACAAATAGCACTGTGTCACTTTTTTTCTGACGAATGACACATACGCGTCAAGCAACAGTAAGGCAGTACTTATTATGCGTGCTACATCAGCCCACACGGGAAAATCCGATTTCGGATTCGAATTTGTCTTTACCTAGAACGAGGACATTTTTGTTCGACGGCAGCTTGTTGTTGCCGCTGTTCTGCACTTCCGCCAGAATAGACGACCTGCGAAGCATACGGTAACATCGGTTGAGAAACGGTTAAATGCGAACGCATGAAATTTTTCTCACGCGGAGTGTGCGATGCGTCATGCCGAGTAACGGAGAGTATTTCCATTTTGCGAAATATGAAACGAGAACAACCGCGTTTCGATATATGACCGATAATTCGCGAACCACACAACACGTACCACAAGTTGTCCTTATTGTCGACATCTTCTTTCTTTTTCGCCTGAAACCCATTGCTCTGCAACATCGTATCAACCATCGTCGCTGCCATTATCATCCATTTGACAGAAATGAGAATATCGATTGCGAGCGCGCGAGGGCGCGAGCTGTAAATGAGCGGGTGTGACCGACCTAACCCTGCGGAATCGATAGTCTCGCATAGTTTCGATTGGTCGCTAAGCGCGACCCTACATCGATCTCCCATCCAACTCGCAACCCGCGTAAAATTTAATAAAAAGCTGAATATCAACAAAATACAAAATTTTGTAAAGCCTCTTGCACAATGCGAGGGAATAGTGATAGCGATAAGCAATAGACACAGAATTCCAACTCGTTGGAAATTTTATCGCTATTGCTTATTCTGATTTTCTGATCTGCATTGATACATGTGTATTTTTTGTATGTTAGATTCCGCTGTTCCTACCGTTATTTATAAATATAAACTCTTTAAAGCCCCTTACACAATGGACGGAATAGCGATAGCGATAGAAATAACACAGTTTTTAACACAGAATTTCAACTCGTCGGAAATTTTATCGCTATTACTTATTCCGATTTTCTGATCTGCATTGATACATGTGTAGTTTTGTATGTTAGATTCTGCTGTTCCTACCTTTATTTTTAAATATAAACTCTTTAAAACTTTTGTTATTTCTATCGCTATCGCTATTCCGTAGGAACAGCGGAATCTAACATACAAAAATACACATGTATCAATGCAGATCAGAAAATCAGAATAACCAATAGCGATAAAATTTCCGACGAGTTGGAATTCTGTGTCTAAAACTGTGTTATTTCTATCGCTATCGCTATTCCGTCCATTGTGCAACGGGCTTAAGCATTTTTTCAACTTAAATTTCAATAGCGATAAAATATGAAATATCGTGTGACACAGATACTATATTTTTATTACGTGTTACATATACATCATTTTTTAATACAATTATATATCTTGTCAACATCCTTATATAATTCTCTTCAACTTGCGTAGTAGTCTTTCAAATATTGTGCTTTGGGTTTGAATATCAGTTTATCTCTGAGACTAACCACCCAGCCTGGTTCAAGACCGTAGAACAATTGTCGCGGATCTTTGCGCTCGCGGAGCATCTCGCAATCGGGATCGTCTTCGATTTTCGGCAATTCGTAGCCGTATTTTTGCGCCAGCACCAGTCTCTCCTGTGAAATCTTTTCAGGATCGGCCAGGTATCCTCTTGTGGCAGCACTGGAATAGAACTTCAGGCAATCCGTCGGTGGTAAAAATCTGCGCGGTATCGGTTCGCCTATAAAACGTTACATAGAGTTAATTATAAACAAGTAAAATAGCAGAAGCAATTACTCTGTACAATAATTGTCTAAAACATTAAAAAAAAAAAAAAAAAAAAAAAAACTATTCTTTTCGAAGTACCTCTGCTGAAAAACTGTTCTACATTAGTGATGGCTTCAAGACTGATCATATCGTAGTACGCATTCGTAATCACACCACCATTTCTCTCAATCGCCGCGATTACAGGTTCGCTGGCCCACTGCACTTCTATATTTACCTTAGCTTTAAAACATTCCGCACCCTTAAAACAAAGAAAAAAACAGAGAGAATTTCTTTTAATTTAATAATAACTCATAAAAAAAACATACGCAATAAAAGAAAAGTATAATTTAAATGAAATATCAAATTACCTCATCTGTTAAATGAACACCTGCGTGTTTGTGTTTCAGATTGATATCATACAAGCCGGTATTAATTAATGATATAAGATCGATTGGCTTAGAGATATCTAGCCGATTTGTGTCGATAAACATTTGCAAGTTCTTTAGAGAAAGCGGCGGATATTCTCGTCTCAAACTGTAACATGCAGAAATATTTATTTATCAGCATTTTGGGCATATATCTTACAATCTTACACCGTGAAATTTTCTGAAGCTTACTGATGGCCCTTGTAATAAGGTTCTAAACCGAATCTTATGTAGAAAGGAGTGTTTCCGGTCTCGTAACCCAGACGCATGTAATTCTGTCTTTGTTTGGAACCTTTGTTGCCACAACCATGTTTGTTACCACCGTGTTGACCTCTTCCACGTTTCTGTGCAGAAGTGTGACAAAAAATACAAATTATCAACAGAAAACCACAGCACTGTCAAACCAATATTTCAGTAAAAATATAAAAAAATTGTGTATGGATTTTTTTAAGAGTCTTGGGTTTTTTAGGAGAAACACAATATATCTTATTTTTCGTTCTAAAATATCTTACAGATTTCTTGTATGCACCAGGATTATCCCGGATATTCCCTAATGTCACTCTCGGTAACACACGCAATATGGATAACGCTAAATCTTTTCCTTGTTTCCCAGCCATATCGATATTAAAAAAAAAATCTTCAACAATAAATTTTGTGTATTCAGACACGTAATTTTAAAGATCCATCTGAGCGTTTCCCAACCTAACCTAACCCCAATAGAACTCGCGCTACAATGCAATAATCAGTTCTACTCCAGTTTACTCCTTTTTACTACACATTGCTACACTTTCCGCTTCCTGATCTTAATATAATGAGATACTGAGATAAGTATGAGATAGTTAAATGTGCGAGATTTTGACACAAAATAAATAGAAAAAAATACATAAAGGTCTACGTTAGTCGCAAAGGCAAAAAACTAGTGATCTTGTGGAATTAATCAATTCTATTGGTTGATTGGCCGGTTTCGTCAATGCGCAAATTAGTCGGTTTCGCGAAATCTTGGAATTAACGTAAAACGATTTTTAATCGCAATCGGAATAACCGCGGTTTTTTCAATAGCTTTTGCTCTGGGAAAAGAAGAATTTTAAATTTTGATAATGATGACTGTTTTAAATGATTCCGACAGCGAGGATGAACTACCGCCGTGTTGGGAAGAAAGAGCGACGTTAGACGGAAACGTTTATTATGTGAAGTGAGTAGTACGTTTGAAATGCTTTGGTGTGAGAAAAACAGGAAGTACGCGTACTTCTTTTTTTTCTTATACCAAAAAATATATGTTAATGATCTGTGTTTATATCACTTTGTTACGACATTCATTCCAATTTTTGCGTAGTCATTATACGAAAGGCACTCAATGGACTCATCCTAGAACCGGTCGTAAGAAGATCGTCGACGGAGGTACGTGATGAAATCATTTTTTTTTTTTGTAACGAACTTTATATAATAACGAATATTAATACTAGTTAAATATATATTATAAATATTGATATTAATAAGTAAATGTATATATATATATGTATAATGTAGAAAAATATCTTAAATTTAGATCCAAACTTATTTCAGAATTGCCATCTGGTTGGGAAAGGTGTATATTGGACGACGGTAAAGTTCTGTTTGTTGACCATACCAATCACACAACAACCTATACCGATCCACGTTTGGCATTTGCCACGGAATATAGAGAAATGTCACAACCAGTACGACAGAGATTTGATGGAAGTAGCACAGCCTTGGCTGTGCTTCATGGCCGAGATTTACGCTCAAAAATCGCCCTTATTACAGGAGCCAATACAGGAATCGGTAAGTCAGGATTATTTAATACACAAATGTTTGTCACATAAGAAACATATTTAATTAATCGATTAAAATCTTTCTGCAGGTTTTGAGACTGCTAGATCGTTAGCTTTTCACGGTTGTAATGTAATATTAGCTTGTAGAGACTTGGAAAAGGCAAATGAAGCTGTAAAACGTATTCAGCAAGAAAAGGAGACTGCAAATTGTTCAGTTTTGAAATTGGATTTAACGTCGCTGGACAGCGTACGAGAGGCCGCTAATGAGTTTAAGCAGAAGTTTCAGTAATTTTACGCTTTGTATATTTTACATGATTAGAAGCGATTGCATATAATTGCAGAAATGTTTCTACTTTGAATGTTATATAACAAAATTTTTCTCAGAGCTCTTCATATTCTCATATTGAATGCCGGCGTGCTTGGATCTCCTTATCAGCTCACGAAGGATGATTATGAAATGACATTTCAAGTCAACCATTTGGCACAGTTTTATTTGACGATGTTACTAGAGCATGTTATACACAATTCTAGTAATCCTAGAATTGTAGTAGTTTCCAGTGAAGGGCATCGGTATTTTATCATTAGATATTTTGTTTTAATAGAAATTAAGCACAAATTTAAGCATAATCTCTGTAACCAAACGTTTTATACAATGTAGATTTTCAACTATTTCAACTCCAGAAGATCTTCATCAATCAGTCTTATCTCCACCGCCGTACAGATACTGGGCATTGGGAGCATATAACAACTCAAAGCTCTGTAATATTTTATTTGCGCAAGAACTAGCGCGGCAATGGCCAAATGTGAGCGTCTTTGCTTGCCATCCTGGTAATCTAGTGTCTTCGTCCATAGCCCGTCACTGGTGGCTATATCGATTGCTATTCACCTTAGTACGACCGTTCACAAAATCACTGGTACGAATTACATTCTCTTATAAGTTTAAAATATTATTAATGATATAAAAGTTTTAAAACATTAAAAAATATTAAATTCATGAAAGAACATAAAGCAAAGTGTTTAATTAAGTTAGATTTATCTTGTAGCACAAATATACATATATGAATTTATTTAAAAAAATAGTATTGAAAAAATCTATACTTTTTTTTTTTTTAATTTCTGAATTAAATAATTAATTGTATTAATTAATAAAAAATGTATCGCAGCAACAAGCAGCAAGCACACAAGTATTCTGCGCTACAGCGACAGAACTGGAGGGTATGACGGGTGGTTATTTCAACAATTGTTGTCGTTGTCAGCCATCAAATCCTGCATTGGATTCCAATCTTGCTGGACAATTATGGATTATCAGTCAGGAAATGATATTAGATGCTTCAAAAAGACATAAAGACAGTTGTGAAGAAAAAGAATCAAATTAAATATTTACCATCCAATCTACTAGCCCAGACAAAAAAGTATATATCACATAAAAAATATATAAAATACAAATATAAATGATGAAATACAACACACACACACAATATATGGACTGACGGTGAATTTTCCGTTTAGGCGGCGTCAGTCCCTAGGGATTGACAGTGAACTTTTCGTTTGGGCAGCATCGGTCCGTGGAATCACCAGTATAAAGGTTCAAATAAATAAAAATGTTGTAATTTTACTTAAGTTTAAGGACGAAAAGCACAGCAAAATCGGCTTCGCGCTTAACATATTAAAAATAATCTTTTTTGTACTATATGTATGTACAATGTATTATATATTAATGATTTATGTATAAAAGGGTTTTATAAACTATTGGTTTTCGATTCTTTATATAAATAAATGTTATAATATTATATATATTAAGTTTTCTTCCTGTGACATTACACGATAATGCTAATAAGAACTGTTCTCATGAAATTGATCCACGTTAGACTTGAAAGAAGATCTCGTTAAACTTGAAGATCCCAAGAAATGATTAATTCTCTTGATGGCGTTCTACATAAGAGATGGTTGACAATCGCAATCATAGTAAAATTATTGTTGACCTAAGACTATGTGATTGAGGAAACGCAATAATAACACTGTGAGATTTGTGATTGCAAGTTGTAATTTATTGCAAATTGTAGAATTCTGCTCTGACAGGAATGTTTCTAAATGCAAAACTTGGATCTTGTTCCGACAATGTTATCTTCAGAGGACACGTGGACTGTTCGTCATCTGCAATCATCTATAATCGATGTTATCACAAACCATCATGCGTGGAACGCCTGGGTCACAAGAAATATATGGAAGTTTTAGGGTACCCGACCATTGTTCAATTTCAATAACAAAGTCCATGTTGAAGCATTATCGAAGCCTTCTTGCTTCACGTTCGGACTCCAATAGTGTTAGCAGATCGCCTTCCCGCACCGGTCCCTTTACGTTCCTGATGATCTGCCGATTTTGCTCGCCCAAGAATTCTACCTTCACCTGAGTGCACTGTCCTTGCGAGCCAGTACGGCCCAGGACTTTAATTACACGCGCCAACACAACTGGTTTGTCCATAGTTTTTTCCTCACGTGGCGTACAATGTGAAAAATTCTCGCGTACTCAGATGAGATGTGTTACGGTGCCTTGACTCGTGTGAAGTAAGAGAAAAACCAGTGGACGACGGTTTTTCGTTTGTGTGCGTACACCCACCACCTCGGTGCTTTCGGTGCTGGTTGGCTGTTCGATCTTTTCAACTCGACTTGGACTTGTGCACGTAGCATGGAATAGAACCGCACATTGTAGACATATCGCGGAATAGAACCATGTCCACTTTTGAACATAAAGCCTGTTCTACATTGATCGCAAGCGCAAACGCAAGGAACAGGTCTCGTAGAATTGACTAATCGTATTGATCAAATCTGCCAATTGACGAGCGTGATTGGTCAATTTTACGAGATCTATTCTTTGCGTTTGCGCTTGCGATCAATGTAGAACGGGCTTAACGTACGTACTGACAAATCGTTCGTGTAAGTCTTCTCTTTCAGTTTTTTGTCTCCGATTGAAGTAAATATTGCAGAAAATAATGTCGAATGAAGTAGAGGAATCTATTGAAAATTTCCACATTAGGTAAAGTTTTCATATGTGATTACAACATAGTAATAAAACTGTACAAAACTTTACAAGTACATAGTATAGAAATAGTATTTTACAATTTATTTATGTTTATTGGTTACAGAGATCAATATCTACAAAAAATAACTGATGTGATTCAAAGCATCAAAGAAAAAAGTACAGAATTAGGTAGTGAGGCAGTATTTAGTGTGAAACAATTCCATTCTATAAAAGTTGGAATAGAATTAATAGCATCAATAGGAATTATACCTTGTTTACTTCCTGGAGTTGGTATAGGCATGGCTAAGTTATGTCCTAAAGCTGTGGAAATTTCTCAAGAAGATAATTCGGGTTGTTTGGAGGTAAAGCTGTTTATATATTTTCTCAATCTTCATGTTGTAAACTGGATATTGTAGAAAAAATACATACAATTAGTTTTTTGTTTATATTTCAGAAATATGAACGATTGTGTTTTTCAACAAATGCACTCTTGGATTTTTTTCACAATGTAAATTTACAACCAGCTGTACTTTCTCAAATCGGTCCTTTGATGGCTGCTCTATTACAATTGTCTCATGCTCCTTTGACTAAACCATCAAATGAAATTGAACCTTCTAATATAGATAAGCAGGGCTTTCGTATGACAATAGAAGAATATCAAAGATTTCAGAATCGTCAGAAAGAATTTCACACTAAATTTATTTCATTGATAAACATCTGTCCGCAGTATGTATGTTTTCGTGAATTAATGATAATTCTTGGAATACAAAACACACCAAAGTGGTTGCGTAGAGAAACTCAAAATTATTTAATACAAATGCTTGTGCAATCCAATGGTGTGTTATCACTAATCGCAGCAATTTGTAAAGATGGTTTAGATTTTGGTGTAGACTGGAAGAAACTTGATATAATTTCTAAATTGATAGCAGCTCCACATGGAAGCAATGCCGACGAATATTATAAAGCTGTATGTCCGCAGGTATTGTATGCCGTTATATTATACATATAATACACACACACAAAAAGCAATAAAATTTATATAAAATATGAAAATAAATCTGTAACATAGTTTAATATAATGTTTGTCTTCTTTGTTTTCAGATTATAAGTTTACTCTCTTCGAATAAGATAAAACATGGATCGACAATATCAAACTCTTGTATCAAAGCTCTGTTTGATTACAATCCGAATATTTGTCAAAAGCGTATAATAGACGTTATTTGTGCTCCTTTAATCGCAAATCAATCATGTGGTATGAAATCTGAAAAAGAAGTAGAGCAATGTATAGACAGTTTAGCAAAATGTTTTCTAACAGAAGATTCCAATCGTCTGCATTGCAAAGTCATTTTACACATTGCCACACCATTGTTCTGCTTATACAATAAAGTCCGAGAAAGCGCTTGCATATTGAAAACAAATTTACGACGATTGTTGTTAAAACTTCTCGAAGATGAAACAACACGAGAAACGCTTTATTCAGCTTTTCTGGGACACAATACATCCGGTGAATTCGGCAATTATGTGACATCACAGTTTGGCTCGAGCGGTGGTCTCGAGATCACTGGAACGGAAGAAAATTTAGAATACGAAGAATTAGCCGATACCGTGTTCGATCTCGTATCGATCGCTAAAAATTTGTCACCCAGTTTGTTTTGTTATATGTTGAAATTTCTGTCAAATGTGAATAAATTGAGTTCCGATACAGGACAAAATGTGTTAGAGACAGAAGACGATAAAATAAAAAATATCACGATGCAATTAACGGCCTGCAAGCTTCTGTCACAGCTAGCCAGTACAAGCACCGTTCAAGACGCTCAAGTTGCAGATCCCAAGCCGCTGCTGTCATTCATCAAATCCTTGTTTGATACATGGACAAAGAACTGTTCAAATAAAACGGAAGAAAATGAATGTGAATTATTATATATCAGTTTGATGCTGATAAAAATGATTCTGGTCGAGAGAAGAGCGACGCTCAAGATCGATCATTTCAAAGATTTCAGCACGTTTTTGAAAGATCATCGCAAGAATTCGAATATGCCGACGCAGCTTAAATCACTGATCGATGAAGTTACAGCCTGCATTGTGACGCATGGTTCTACAAATGAAGAACCCCGAGTTAATTTTGGAAAGAAACACTATGAGGATTTGTCGATAAGTCCGTCGACATCAAACAAGTTTGACGAAGCCATGAAAGATCTCGCGGACCCAATGCTACCTGTTCGGGCGCACGGTCTGATAACGCTTACAAAACTGATTGAGACTAAAGATCCATGTGCTTGTGCGCGCAAAGCGATAGTTTTGCGTTTGTTTCAGGTTGGTAATATTCAAATTGTTTGCTAACGCGCTCTTTGTAATTTTTATCTTATTTATTAACCCGACTAATTGCAGGAGAATTTGAAGGACGAGGATTCATTCGTGTATCTGGCGTCTATAAACGGATTGTGCGCGTTAGCAACCGCATTTCCGAAAGAGATCATAGAGACACTGATGCACGAATACGTCAACATGCCCAATCGTGTTGCGGGAGCAGAAATAACAGTCGAGACCAGGATAAAAATCGGTGAAATATTGGTTAAAACAACAAGAGCTTTAGGTACGTAAAAATCCTTTTTTTTTTTTATTATTATTCTCCTATATATACAGATTAAAAATTTGTTGTAGATTTTGATTTGCAGAAAAACAATGAATAATAAATACCAAAATGCGCTCATTCAACATATGTGCCTACAACTAGCGGTTTATGAATTGCTTGAGCAAAAATCAACAGTAATCAATGTTTTTTTTTTTTTCAGGTGAGATGAGCGTGGTTCACAAAAACGAGTTGGTTAATGGCTTTCTATGCGCGATTCGCGACGCGGATCCATTGGTACGAGCCTCCAGTCTTTCTTGCTTAGGAGAGCTCTGCAAGATATTGAACTTCCGATTGGGAAACATTCTCGTCGAGGTACGTATATACAACACTCGTGGGAAAATAGAGTAAAATCTTTTTTTTTTTTTTTTTTTTTTAACTTAATTAATTTAATTGATTTATAACATTTTCAGATTCTTTACGTTATCGCGTGTGTGGTAAGACACGACAAAGCGCCCGAATGTCGACGTGCCGCCGTGTTAGTTGCCACACTTCTGTTTCGCGGTCTCGGTCGTGACACTTTGAGCACTCTCAGTAGCGACTTGTGTGACTTGTATCGTGGACTCAAACATCTGCGCAACAACGATGACGATCCTGTACTACGGCTTCACGCTCAGCTGGCCTTAGACGAGATCGATCACATTGTGCGGGATCACCTTCTTGCACCTCCCAAACTCGAGAAAAGGATAACATTAAATTTCGTTACGTGAAGCAATGAAGCATGCAAAGTGTATGCTTCTATTTTCTTGTACAGTACTTTTTTTAATTAACTTACTTAAAGAGTGATAGTTAATTATTAATAAATACGTCCTATAAAAGATAATCTTCTGTGTTCACGCAACGCGATGAGCAACAAAATCTGTATTATTGAAAAATGTCGCACGTTATAATATATATACACACACACATATATATATATATATATATACATATGTATATATATATATGTACACACAATTCCGTTCTTTCGCTCAAAGAATTATCGGAAAATTGAAATCTGTCCGATATGTCTCGGTGCAATATCATGGATGATCGTTCGAGAACTCACAGATTACGAAGGAAGTAGCCGCGATAAACTCAGCAGGACGTGTGCAATTCTGTCTCTAAAAATTACGCCACGATAGCGAATTCCGTATTGGATTTTATAGGAATGTCGTGTCTTCGGAAAAGAACCCGGCCAGACAGATGTCGTCTCGTTTGAGACACGCGTATAACCGCTGTGGCTGAGGCGTGGAGGCCGGCGACGGCCGCGGTATTATTGTACGTAGAATGAATTCCTTACAGGATGGCTCGGGAAACATTTTCTGTCGGCCATCTCCCGCGGCGTCTGTCGCGTCGTTGCTGTTGCCGACAGACGTCATCATGTTAGCAGCCTGAAGAACAAAATTGAAGTGTTTTACATTTGAACCATAATAAGTTTTTGTCATATCGTCACTCCCTACGTATAATTACATAGGTGTCACATTCGAGATTTTCAGTTTATTACATAGTGACACTTAGAAAGTCATGTTCTATGGTCACGAAATATTAAAAAAAATATTCATAAGTAAGGTAAAAATTTAAAATCGAAAGATCCCTTAACTAGAGAAACTATATGAAGGTTTGAACTTTTAAACTGCTCTCCTCTAAAATTTGCGTTTTGGAGTTACGGGATTATACGTAGGGAGTGACGATATGATAATAACAGTATCGCTTACCTTTTGAGCATCGTGAAACATCGTTATTATTCGAGTTCCGATATCCCCTCTGGAACCGCCGGGCACGCTCACTTCTTTCCCACGCATCAGCTGAATTAAGAAAGACGTCAACTCTTTGGAATCGTTGTTTCCGCCAAGTTTGTGCTGTAGCGAATTCACCTGTGCGACCAACGCTTCCACACTTTCAAGGTCGCGCGTGATGTCCTGAAAAATTAATTTGAAACCTAGAAAATTCCATTTGCAAAACTTTTATTTTAATTATTCTTATTTTCGTCGTATTTATACGAAATATATTTATTAATACGTTCAAATGTAAAATATACAATAAAACTTAAGATCACTATAATAATTTCAGATGAGAGAGACGTACTTCGTACAATTGCAACTTCTGATGAATAGGCTTCGTTGCGATTTGCAACTTGTTGAGTATGCTTTGCGCTACGTCGGGCAAGTTCGGCAAAGCTTCCTGTTTCTGCAGGCTCAGGGTATAAAGCGCGGCGTGTGTCAGATTCGGTAATAGAAGCTGTGCGATTTGGCCTACTCGTTGCGAACACAAATAATGCAGAACTTTCTCAGCTTCTCTCGTGTCGTCGAACAGTCGTTTCTGTCGATGCGCAGGAACCGGCTGAGCGGACGCCCACGTCGTTGACCATGGATTATCGGGGATCATCATGCGCGCCGATAAGTGGCCTGTATTTCAAAATATTGAAAACATCACACACATGCAACGATATGTCCAAAAATGTTGTTTTGATGAGAACAAGCGCTAACCTGCTCCTTGTCCCCACTCGTCAACGCCTTCTTCGTCGATCCAATCTCTCGGGGAATACCATCGAATAAAGTCCTCCAGCACAGCGCCCGGATTCGCTGCCTGCATTACATTATCGTAAGAGGTATAGATGTATTTCGCAAAAAAATTGATTTAGACGACCAATATGCATGATGTTACACACGCACCTTGAAAGATTCCATATCGGATAACAAGGACGCGCTCATCATTCGCGCTCGCATCTCGGAGGCATACTTGTCGGTGCCAAGCTGCATCATCACCTGCGCGTCCTCCTCCAGCTGATCCTCCGTCTTCGGTACGGGATCCTGCGTGACTGGTAGATAAAGAGGATCTCCGGTTTGAATCAGCCTACGCATCGTCAATATCCAACCCGTTTATTAGTCACCAAATCGCTAATACTTTTTCAAACTTGGTTTCGCCGACAGAGAGTAACGCGCGCAGATTTTAAATGAGAAATTTTGAGAGATATTTGAAATTATTAGCCGAAGAAAAATATTTAATTTTATTTATCGAGAAGCCTCTTCTGAGAAGTACCAATTATTAAATATAATTTAAATGAAGTTTTTTTTTTTAATGACAATAAGAGTTAATACGTGAAAAAATATGATCCAGCCGGATAGAGAAACTCCAATTTTAGACATCAAGAAAATGAGTTTGTTTGAGACAACATTAAGGTAAACATTAAGGTTTTTTATGTGTTGTCGCGAATCGCGCGCGCGGCCAATTTGCGGCCGTCACAGAACGCCAACCTGAGTGAAGGGTGTTTGGCTAATCGTCCCGCTGGTTTATTCCACAGCAGGTGCTTTGCCTTCAATTGCGTCCTCGTTGACGAAATCTCCTCGTTGTCTAATTCCTCGCTTCTGCACTCGAAGAATTCCTCTTCCTCCGATTCTTCATTCACAAGCAAATCAAGCGAAAACAAATCAAATCATCTCTTCGTCTGGGTGTCATTCATACGGCGCGCGTATCAAAGCACGCAATCGGAGAACATGTGAATCTTACCTGTCTCCTCCACATCGTCGACTTCCATACTTTGAGATCTGTGCGCGTTCTCCTCTCGCGTTTTTTTCCTCGTGATACAACAGTTCATCATCTGCACGCAGAAAACGTAATGAACAAACGCCCCCAATGGGACTTGCGCTCGTAACCGATGTTGTAAGTTACATAAAGCGTTACATAAAATATTTGGTAATTCACGTACCTGTAACTTTTGATGCAGCAAGCACGTGCGAACGGAATCTGGGAAACCAGGCCCGATTCTAGAAACGAAAGATAAAGACAAAAGATTATATTGTATCACATATATACATATATTCGTTCGCGCCGTCTCTATATATCTTCGCAAAAACAAAAAATAATTAAGACAAATAATGAAAGCGCTATAAAAAAGTTGACAGAAGGTTCACGATCCTTCTCGTTCTGGGAAGCCGCTTCTGTCACTTCTAAATCTTTCTCTTTTGTCCTTCATTGTTTGCCGCATTTGCTCCAAGCCGACCGAAATAATTTATGATCCAGACGTAACAAAGAGAGATTCCTGAATTCACTTCCCATGTCTCGACCAGTCCGAAAATCTCTGAGTAACAAAAATTACACACTACTACTGCGTATACGCGAAAACGCTCCGTAAAGTATATACTGGACGTATAAGTGGATGTTGGAATTAACAGGTAAGTTTCACGTCGGCGGTCATCGATTTAGCGTAATCACTTGCCTCCCGCATAATCTCAATATTTTTACATGCACGCGCATAACGGTATTGCGCCGCGGTGTTCGCGCGCAGTCAATTAGTTGTGCGACGCACAGTCACGTCTCTCCTATTGCTGACGGTGGAAAGCAATTTTAAATCTGTAATTTTTCAAAAAATAATTAATCAATGTAATTAAAATACCTTTCTTTCGGTTTCTCTCAGAGTTATCCCTTTTTTATTCTTATAGTATAATTGTTTCAAATATGTATTTTTATATCTCGGATATGTGTATACGAGTTACATAATAAATATTGCTTGTTTAGGTACAAAAACTGTTTTGTTTGTATACTTATAATTAAAAGTATATAAAATATATATATTTATCTCATTTTATATAGAGACACATATTACACGGAATTTTTTCTTTACAAATTCTCTTCAACAGGGGACAATTATACGAAACAATTTGAATAGTGTCAAAAGATGTTCCGGAGATGAAGAAGAGGCGCAAACATCAAGGGTCAACTCCCCGCCCTCGATGAAATTTTCCCTCCGGTGGTGAGCCTAATCGAGCATGTTCTATCCAGCCTATGACGAAGCTCGCCGTCGAAGGCTTACTTCGCCCTACCACGTTGCTGGCACGAGACAGGATTTCTACCGGGGGCCGGACGCGGCCGCGCTTGGTTCTTGCAGTCGACTTGAAGACCGCGATGCGGCGGCCGAGCTAACGGTGAAGAAAAACCGAGCAATCCTCCACGTCCGCGCTCGCGACTTGCATCGATAGTTCGTCGTGAAGTGCAGAATTTTCTTTTCGAAAAAATTTTTCTTTCTATTTCTTTTATTTTATTTTTTTGTTTTTGTTTTAACGTGAGATATGAACGGCTCGTAGCGCACGCGATTTTTCGATTTGTCGTATTCCGTGAGGATTTCGGATTTACACCTGCGACATCTCTGTTCTCCTCAGAAGAGTCGAAGGAAACGCGGTGTATTTACATGCGTAAAGCGACCGGGTGCATTCCCAGAGAGGTGCGGCTAAACATCATGGCTTTGACTGCTCGTTCGTAGAAGACGACACAAATAACTATGAGTGAGTAGTGAATATATATTCTATTTGGAAAATCAAAAATTATAATCTTGTAGAAAACATCTCGCAGAACTGAAGATAATTTTATCTTAAAGAAAGAAAGAGAGAAAGAAAGAGATGTCTTCTCCAACTAATTTATATTCCAAATTTTCCTGACTCACAAAAGTAACGGTACTATTAGTTGAAAGACTTGCAGAGAATTATTAAACACCTCGAAACACCGGTTTCTTGTATCTAAAATCTAAGACAACACAAATCTCCAAAACGTAAGATCTTCAATAAAATTAAATAAAACAAATAAACACGGAAATATAAATTTAGATATTAAATTTTGTTTATAAGATGCGCGTAGTTTCTTTATTAAAAAGAATTATTAATACCGCGTGCATCTTAAATTATATTTTGTTATAAAAAATAAATTTTATATATAAAATATATATTATTAATATTTAAATATTATACGCTGTACATAATTATAATATATAATTATAACATATTATATAAAGAAAATGAACATTCTCTAAAAATAATCGAAAATACTGAAATCGATCTACTTTTGATCGATTTATATTTCTTTTTTTTATATTTGTCTCTCAGCTCAACAAAAATATTATACGTTTATACGGCTAGCTTTTTCACGAGCGCCAGCGTTATACTCTTCATGGAATTTGTAGCCACGTCGCGTGGCGGTGGACGCTCTTCGAAGGGTTAATGCACCTACGCGCGCATCTTACGGCTATCGTCTTCAACGTATACCGTCCGACCTTGAACCGCGCTATAGATACACGATAAACACGCTGGGTAATAATCCTCCCGTATTTCAGACAAAATACCAGGTAGTTTGCGCTCGCTGCATTTGAATTCGTTATAAAGACAAAACTGAAGATTGAGAGAGATTAGATTATACGATAACGTCGCCGAATAAAACATAAAACACATGGATTTTCTGAAACGACGAAAGCGAAGGGAGAGGAGGATTATTATACCAATTGTTATACCAATCACGCTATTTAGCCAATACATTCTCATACATACTTAGCGTCGCGATAGATTGAGAAGCGTTATTTAGGTACAGAGAATCTCGTGTCGGGGGATATTAACACCTCTTACAAATTCCGCGAGAAACATCATCAAAGAAGATGCACACATTGAGAGAGAAATTGACGGATAGAAATACAGATTTATCGAGAATCGGCGACGCGCTATCACAGCACTTCGCACAAACGGGCAAGATGATCCCAGAGAAGACGTCTTCTTCGCGAACTTGCATTTTCATTTCCGCTCGATCGATCGACCAAGTGATCGGGAACGATATCTCGCGCAATTTCGAACTCGATATTAAAGGAGAGAAAAAAAAAAAATTAAAGAGAGAGTGTGAAATTTATATTTCTCTCGCGATAAAAGTGTACAGAAGACGAACAGAGCGAAGAGAAGAACGATCCAACGCGGAAAGAAAAATCTGGATGGAATTTCTCGTGGATTGTCTCTCTCTCTTCCTGAATTTATATCAAATTATTAATCTTGTTTTGCGCCGTTCTGCGTGAGTAGCAACATTATGTAAACGTTGCGTAAGTATAGATCGGGAAATATTTTTTTTCGTGAGTAGGGTAAAAAACCCAATTACTGTCATCCTAAGCTATTTTATTTAAAATATTAAATAAATCCTAAAAAGTTATGCATGAAAAAAATCTAACATAGAATTTTAAGTGCAATTAATATAACAAAAAATTTTAAGTGCAATTAATATAACAAAAAATTAGTAGACAGTAATAGCTCTCGCATCGTTCTTTTTTAATTGTTAAATTTATAAATAAAAATAGAAATTTTGAGAGGTGGTATTATTTTGTTTCTTGTATTAAAGACATTGAATAATATCAGATAAGAAGAAAAACACATGTTTTTGATAAATAAATAGTAAAAACAATTCGTTAACGCCAGAGTTCATTATTCAGATGACAGTAATTGGGTCTTTTACCCTATAAGCAGCGAGAGAATATTGCTTATATTGGGATGGAAATATAGTTTTTTTTTTTTTTAACAACAGCACTCTGGTGACTCGGATAATCGAAAATACTCGGAGCGATACGCACTTGATGAAAAAGATGCAAAGTATCAAGTGTATAACCGTGTTTAATATTCCGAGTCAAACCGCGCAATGTAAACTTCCGTGCAATAATATCTGCATATATTTTCTACTTCTTTCTGAATAATTTGCGGAAACAAAAGACAGCGTTACTGAAGCGTCTCGACACTTTCGTTTCGCGTTTTATTCGGACGAACGCTTGAAGTTTTCGCGAAAGCTTCAATCCGGTTCAACGGCACCGCGTTGGCTTTTGGGATTGCACGCGAGCGCGAAGCAACCACGTCACGGTCGGTCTGAGAAGAAAAATCAGGGCGTATGGTAATGGCGTCCTGTCTGGCAACCATTACGGAGAAATTGCCGAGGTTTACCCGCGAACCGGGGCCGACGAGCATGGCGATGGTGGTCCGTTTGCCCGCGAGCCGTGACCATCAGACCATGGATGCTCTCCTGCCTCGATTTGTCTGTCGTCAACCCCCGTATTCCTTCGCGATTACTTGCACTTCTTACTTTAACAACCGCCACCGTATCGGTCGAATTAATTGAAATGTTCGCATTATCAATGACGTAACGCCTCGAGGATAATGTGTGTCAACTGGGGAAACCTACACCGCGTCTAAGAGCGCCTGAAGAAAACAAATGATACAAAATAATCATAAATTTTCTCCATTTCACGCAAGTTGAAATTGATGAGACACGTTGACAGAGCGTTCCGACTTTAAATCATCGGCAAAAAAAAAAACGGTTATCGCGAGGCAAATGTCAACTCGCGTCGTCGCTTCTTAACGAGCCGCGTCGCTTTTACGCCAATTGCAATTAATGAGCGCCATTGTTCGCGCTGAGTATTATTACACGCGGTTAAGGTGCGCGCTTCAGCGTGATTTTTTTTTTTTTTTTTTTTTTTCATATCAGATCGTGCCACTTCGATAATTCCGGTTGTCGCGTATTAGCGACAATTTAAAGCGGGTAAACTACTCTGCAATTAGCATCAATGCGAGTATGTACGTAAAAAATCGACGACAATCGCGGATAACGCGTGAGAATCGCGTCGTTCTTGTGAGCGATTTTCACGCTTGAAAATCTTACTTCGCGCGAAAAAAAAAAAATAATAATAAAGTCGCAAAAACGTGAGAAATACCGAGAAAGGTCATCGGTGAATCCTCGCGGATTATCTCTTCGTCGAGATTATCATCACGACGTGGAGACCCTCTCGAAGAAGAAGAAGAAGAGTGTAACTCGATGTGACCTAACCCACATCCCAGAGGCCGAGGGAAACCGAGTTAACGTCGCAGCTCTCATTTCCGGAACCGCTTCTCGACTTCCGTCGCGGGTGCCGTTGAGGTACCTTGCCGCCCGATAACTCTTCCGGTCACGACTCGATCGATCTCGGCCGACCATTTCCTGCAACTTCTCTCGCTCGCGCATCTCGCCCGAGCAAAAATTCGATTTAGCGAATATATAGATAGAACGAAAATAACCGCAACATTTTTCAAAGTGCTCAAAATATTAATTTTTATTTTGACGCACATTTTCATGAATCGATCGCACAAATGCGTTATTAACAATAAATAAACGCGAGCTGTCAAACTCCGATCGAGGAAACCGCAGTTTTAAAAGAGAGACGTAACGTCGACGCGCGCGCGTTGGAGACTTGAACGCGTGGTAACGCACAAAATGTGCGACGTGTCGCCACGCGTTCTGGTTCACAGTTTTACATGGACGGACGATTGTATCGCACGACTGTAGAATTTTGAAGGCGGTAATTAACCCGCACGTCTTGAGGCTAGCTCAGCGCGTTTCCTCGTTATTGTGCCCGACTACGGGCCTGGCGGTATATATTGTGTGACAGTTCTCACGGCACACACACACACACACGGCATATCTCAAGTAAAACGTCGCGTACATAACGTAATTCGGCGGACGAATTCCTTTTTTTTTTTTTTCACAAAACTGACGAGTGTGCGAGAAAGGCGCGTTTGTCTCTCTCTCTCTCTCTCTCTCTCTCTCTCTCTCTGACGGGGTCAGTGGGGAAGCAGGCAGAATAGACCTCGTAGTCATTTTGCAAGCCGTCATTGTTGGTCGAAGAAAACGCGAGTTACGGCATTGTTTGCACATCGCTTGAAAAGCAGCGCGCTTTCTTTGATGTATATAAGATGCGTATCAGAGAGAATTTTTTCTCGAACGCGAACATATATTAGGTCTACCGGAAAGTGTTCTGTCCGTTTTTGGAATAAAACAAAATACAAATTTTTCTTAATTTTTCAAAAATGAGATATACAAATTGCCTTCACGCTGGCAAGAAATCATTAATATAATAATGGCAATTATATTATTTAATAAAGTTTATTGACGGTAAGAAAAATTTGTATTTTGTTTTATTCCAAAAACGGACAGAACTTTCCGGTAGACCTAATACTTGTGGAACAGTTTGCGAAAATTTGGATTCGTCACTCGCAAGTTGTTTGCATATCGAATAAGTTTCGAGCGTTATTCAGATTCAATCTTGAAAAATTTGCCAAACGTGTTTCGACGACTATAAGACACGTGATTGATTTTGACGGTGATCCGATCCGAGATACGGCAGCTCGTACGCAATTAATATTCATTTGCGTGTCGATGCCGATAACGTTCTTCTTAATCGCTGATCGTTATCTCGTCGATCAATCAGCTGTCCGTCTTCGAGATTCGTTCACCATTTTTAGGCACAATAGCTTCGTGTATGAACATCGTGCATTGTTGTGTCGCGAAATTGTTGAAGGAATGTCGAAATCCTTGAGATATTCTGAACGACGATACTCCAAACAGAGAAAGAGAGAGAGAGAGAGAGAAAGAGAGAGCAAGCTGTTGTCCTCCAACGTGTTGTTTGCCCTCCCATTCATATGTCACACGTTGTCTAGTGTCGAAGACGCATGTGTATTTTGCG